GACCCCAACTTTGGGAAACACTGGTTTAGAGTATGCAAATGTTTTCTGTATTATGCACAAAACAGTGTTTTGTGTGTTACTGTTTACTTTGWATGATTTGGTTTTACTTGTTTCCAAAGAAGATGTGAAGTTCTCAAAAGGGGACAAATTCATACATTAATGCAAGTTCAGTAAGTTGTTGAAATAACAAACAATTGTCACCAATTTCATTACGTAATAAGATGCTTTGAAAATAAAAGGTAGTTTGGTTATTTCTCAATGATCGTTTGGGTGCAGTCTTCTTCTTTTGGCTGTTCCTTCTTCAGGGGTCACCACAGCGAGTCATCCCCCTCTACCTCGCTTTGTCTTCTCTAATTGCATCCATATTCTAGATTCAAAATAAATTTTAAAATTAATTTACATATAGTTTGGACTTTTTGCGTAGTAGCTGACAGAATGGAAACAAAAAACAACAAAAAACTAGAAGCACTCGGAGAGCGTAAACCTCCACCAAGGGTAAGTTCCCCTATCCTGCAAGAGTGAAGAATCCTTAATACAAATACAAAATTGTTATGACGTGAAGGCCGATTTTATTATCCAATTGATTTTTTTGTTACAYTAAAGTCAATTACAACTGTAACTTTGTTGATATGAAAATAATTCGGTCATAAGTTTTATTTCCATGCGCCTTCGTGATTGGTCTTCTACACCGCTTCAGGCAATCTGCAGTCGGGGGGTTGACCCGTCCAAGAATGATCCGATGTGATTGGAAGTCTACGGTCAGCTTCCTTGAAGCTAATTGGCTGTCTACTGTTCTACGGTGGATTATTTCCAAGAATCCTTAAAACAATTCCTGCATCCGGATCATCACCAAAATTTACTGGTTTGTTCCTTTGGCCAGTACCCACATGTGGCAAAGATCTCATGAAATTCCATCCATAAGTTTTTGAGTAATTTTGTCCACAGACAGTCATACGCGACCAAAAACATAACCGCGTCCCTTGGTGGAGGTAAGAAAAAGGAAAATTGTTACAAGAGTGTTACTCAAGCTCTGCGTTTACTTTCCACAGCTAAAATCTGGATACAGCAGCACTGGCAGCTCAGGTGGACTATCTGGAGGTCAGATAACACTGAACATACAGAAGGTGAGTAAAGTGTATTTCCTAAGCGATAAAACGATTTTGTCATAGCTTTATATCAACGAGACATTTCTCAGTGTCTCTAAAATGATGTTTCTGTTGTTGCTTTAGTTTGAAAGTCTCAACGCTGAGCTGGAGCACAACCAGGAGTTGGCCAATAGCCGCATGGCAGAGTTGGAGAAACTGCAGGTGGAGCTCCAGGAGGCTGTGAGGGAGAGTGAGAAGCTCAAGGTAAAAGCAGTGTTTGACACATCCAGTTTTTATTTGAAGTCATAGTTTAAAGAGGACTGAAACTGTCATATAACACGATTAAATCTTCAGCACCTTCTTGGTATACATCTCATTTTTCAGATGGACCTGCGCAATATTCCAGAAGAAGTTGTGAAGGAAACCTCTGAGTACAAATGTCTGCAGTCTCAGTTCTCTCTGCTGTACAATGAATCTCTTGGGGTTAAAACTCAGCTGGATGAGGCTCGGGCTCTCCTGTTGACTGCGAAGAACGCTCATCTTCGTCAGATTGAGCACATGGAGGTGGGTCTGACGGCATTTGTTTGTACCACAGAAACAACACAAACTTTATAGGTAGGAATGATTTAGTTTTAAGGCGCAACTGAGGGCCATTCCACCTTTTTTTCCTCTCAAGTTACATTTCAAGGTTTGTGTTTGTTTGTTGTTTCATCATCGTAGCAACACAGTCTGCGGGGTTTTGCTGTTTTCTCCCATTCAGAGCGATGAGCTGTCCCTTCAGAAGAAGCTGAGGACTGATGTCATCCAGTTGGAAGATACTTTGGCTCAGGTGCGCAAAGAGTATGAGATGCTGCGCATCGAGTTTGAGCAGAACCTGGCAGCCAATGAGCAAGCAGGTACTTGAACCAAACACACCATCACATCAATCAGAGAGGAAACCTGTTTTACAGCTAAACAGTAAACCTGCTGTCAATTCAATCAACACGTTTAGTGAGAAGTTATATCTGCCTGACTGATATATTTCTGTTGGTACCCCTCTTGTTAATAACCAGAACACATACAGTGGTCACCAAAATAACAGGAAATCAAAAAAAAGGAATAATTTACTGAAAATGAACCATTGAAAAATCAGATTTATTTTGATTTGTGATTGAACAGAATTATTAAAAAATCAACTGAATGAAACAGGCCTGGACAAAAATGATGGTACCTCTAGAAAAGATTGAAAACAATTGGACCATAGGGGCATGTTAAAGGGATCCCTGATTAGTTGTAACATTAGACTTTATTTGATAAACATTTATTTTAACTGTAAAATAAAGACTAAAAATACTGTAGGCTGTTTAGTTTAGTTTAGTAATTTTTTAAAATATATTTTAACATGGACGGGGCCATTTTATTTACACGCAAAGCATTCTGGGTAAATGATGACGTGGATAGGTCCTCGGTGCGAGGCTGCTAGCGAGCTATATCYACCCTGAAGGTTAATCTTGGACAATATCTGATGATCGACTCTTTTAAATGAAACCAGAGAGCGTTGACAGAGAAGAGAAGGTAGAAATGACTCAGCTGTAACTGAAAATATGGATGGAGGACAACAGAGCTGCTTTATGGAAGAAGAGCCTCAGTTTAGCTTGTTAGCCTTTGGGCTAGCGCTGACGCTACATTGCCTTACATGTATTAGCTCGGTGCTAGCGCGACAAACAAGCTAAACTGAGGTCCTCCATCCATATTTTCAGTTGCAGCTGAGTCATTTTTGCGTTCCCCTCTCTGTCATGTGGATGGAGGACCTCAGTGACGAGAGGAGAATGTGTAGCGCTGAGCTAATACATATATATGGTGATAGCATTGGGGCTAACGCTAAAGCTAACAGGCTAAGCTGAGGTTCTTCTTCCATGAAGCAGCTCTGTTGTCCTCCATCCATATTTTCAGTTACAGTCTGAGTCATTTCTACCTTCTCCTCTCTGTCAACACTCTCTGGTTTCATTTAAAAGAGCTGATTGTCAGTTATTGTATAACCTTCAGGGTGGATATAGCTCGCTAGCAGCCTCGCACCGAGGACCTATCCATGTCATCATTTACCCAGAATGCTTTGCATGTAAATAAAATGGCCCCGTCTGTGTAATATATTTTTAAAACCTTAGTTAAAAATTTATAAAAACTAAACAACCTACAGTATTTTTACAGTCTTTATTTTACAGTTAAAAGATATATTTATCAAATAAAGTCTAATGTTACAACTAATCGGGGATCCGTTTAAACTGAAGCCCCATCTCCACCGGCGCACTTTTACACGGTTTGGTACCACTGTTGAAAGCGAAGCATAAAGAAGCAAAAACAGGAATTTGCCACAATGAATATTAAGCCACAAAGCTTCTGGGAGAATGTCTTTTGGACAGATGAGACAAAACTGGAGCTTTTTGGCAACAAGTTGCATCGACTCAGATACAAAAATGAAGCCTAACAAGAAAAGAACAGTGAAACATGGCGTAAGCCTGAGGCTTCTTTGCTGCATCTGCCGCAGGGCGTCTTAAATGTGTGCAGGGTACGATGAAATCTCAAGACTATCAAGGCATTCTAGAGAGAAATGTGCTGCCTAGGGTTAAAAAACGTATTACAAGTTATTTTTCAAATGTGATCATTTATTAAATGATYACAGTATGGATCCAAATATGAAGAAGCTTTGTGCATGCAAATAAAATTATTGTTATGTTCCTGTGTGGAATCAAAATTTACAGATATTTAYGATAAACTACAAACRCCTGAAAACAAAGGTTTTACTAAAACAGGATGCCAGCAGAGATTCTGTTCATCATGCTAATAAACTCATCATTTCCAACTTCACAACGCAGTTAGTTGAAGATGAATTACTCAGAACTGAATCACACRTTGGTTGTGTTTTGTGGTAAATCTTTTTGTCTCATTCAGGACCAATCAACAGGGAGATGCGGCACCTCATCAGCAGCCTACAAAACCACAACCTGCAGTTGAAAGGTGATGTGCAGCGCTACAAGAGGAAGCTGCGAGAAACACAGATGGAGATCAATAAAGTGGGTGGTGTGGTTCACTAATGAATGATTGCATCATTTCATGTAAAAGATTATGTATAAAAATAAAAAAAGTGCAGTAACGGTGCCTTAAAATGCTGTTTTGCTTTATCAACAGCTACGCTGCCARAGTGGAGACGCAGGGGTTTTGATTCTAGAGGAGACGACGAGCGACAGCATTGATGTCAAAAAGGAGGAGGATGAAGACCAGGAGGAGGAGGAGGAGAGGAGGAAGGAGCTRGAGAGGCAGCGGGCCAGAGAGAGGGAGAGAGAGAGGGAGGCAGAGCGAGAACGTGAGAGGGAGCGAGAGAGGGAGAGGCAGCGTAGTGACGAGCTGAAGAGGAAGGACTCTGATACGTTGAAGATGCTCAGAGTGGATCTCAAGTACGTCAGTCTTTAAATAAACTATTTTATAGCAACAAAATGAAGTGTTCTACAGTACTGTGCACAAACTCTAAAATATCTCCATTTTCGAATTATTTTACTTTTCAGGTGTCAGACTTTCTTGTAGAATTTTAAGGTGGTCTTAATAGTTTGTTTTTTGGACTTTGGCTGTTTTTCCACTCATTATCTGCCTATTTTTTTATTTTAGCAACATATTATACAATGAAAATTTAATTAAAAAATAGGATAAATGGACAAGTGGAGGACAAAAGAAGTCCATCCATCCATTATCTATACCCGCTGCTTCCTTTCAGGGTCACTGGTGYCCATATCCAGCAGTCACAGTGCGAGGGGCGGGGTCCACCCTGGACAGGTCACAAGTCCATCACAGGGCCACACATAGAGACAAACGAGACAAACAACCATTCACTCTCTCCCTAGGGACAATTTAGAGTTACCAGTTAACCTGACAGTCATGTTTTTGGTCTGTGGGAGGAAGCCGAAGTGCCTGGAGAAAACCCACACATGCACGGAGAGAACATGCAAACTACCCAGAAAGGTCCCTGAGCCGGGATTTGATCCGGCGACATTTCATGGTATCAAATCTATCAACTGAGCCTCTGTGCCACCACAGACTTAAAAAACACTTGATACAAGACCAGAGAGATGCATCAGCCGATCATACTTGATGACACATTTTTCTAAAAGCTCTTTAAGAATCATTTTCCTCAAACTAAAATTCTTTTGTCAGTCTGGGTTTTTTTTTAGTATTAATGGATTCARCAAAAAAAAGTACCTTTAACAGTGACAAAGTGTCTGAACTTTTGATAAAAATTAGGTTTTGACAGACTTGTTTGCTATGTGTCAACACATTGATTAATTATTTTTTTATTGAGGAGCCTTTTAATGTCTGAATGATTCATTAGTCAGAATTAGGTGACTGAAACAAGCAAGAAATCCTCTGAAAAGAGTTGTGTACTGAAAATGAGTAAAAAAAAAAACCTTTTGATCAAGACCACTTTTTGCATTTGATGCAAAAATGAAACATAAAATCAATGAAATCTCTAATTCCATTTGTTACTTTCTCAGGAAAGCCCAGGAGTCCCAGAAAGAGATGAAGCTCCTGTTGGACATGTATAAATCTGCTCCAAAGGAGCAAAGAGACAAGGTGCAGCTAATGGCAGCTGAGCGCAAATCTAAGGCAGAGGTTAGTGTTCATCCTCTATGGTTTTAGTCATGTGTAGCCTAATATACTGAACGTTTGACAGTYGTATCCTCATCCGTTGTTTTGAACCGTCCAGGTGGATGACTTGAGGATGCGTGTGCGAGAGCTGGAAGAGAGGGAGAGGAAGGAGAGCAAGAAGTTAGCCGACGAAGACGCCCTCAGGAAGATTCGTGTAGCAGAAGAGATGATTGAGCATCTGCAGAAGAARCTGGCTGCCACCAAGCAGGTACGTTTCTTTAAACACACAAAATCTGAATCTTCACTCAAATCTTTCACCTCAGATTTCCTCCTTCGTCAAACTAAAACCCTCTGATTATTTCTCTTAACTTCCAAACTGTCACACTATATGTATGCCACCACCACCCCCACTTAAAATTACATTTAATTTGATGATTAATCAATCTTTTTTTCTCCCTGAGGCCCAAAGTTATTTGTCAAGCAGCAAAAATGTACAGTTAGAAGAAAATAAAACAATGTGAAAGTTGAATGAAGCTTGGTGGCGATAAGGAGACAGCGAAAGCAGGAGAAGGTAATTAAATTAGTGATATTTGTAGCACTAAACACATTTGGATTTTAGTTTTAGTGTGTAGTTCAGTGTCTGAGTTTTAGTCAAAACAATGAGCTGCGATCGGGGGTCTGACTCTGTGAAGAGGGGGGAACGATGTGGCCTGCCCACTTTCTCCAGAACCATTAAGACTGGTCCAACAGAACCAAGCATCAGCTCTGAGCTTTGGAGAACAGAGTGGGACGTTTATGTTGCCCCAGAGGTAAGCAGGTTCCAGCCTGAGAGAACACCTAGTTAGACCCACTTAGAGTTCAAAAAATGTTTTTTATTGTTTTAGCAACAGTCAGAACCAACATGAACACAGCAAAAAAAATAAGAATCAGGGAAAAATCATAAATTCTAATGATAATAATAGTTTTACAATTTTTTGTTCATGGTGAATTATTTCTCATATTTTATTCTTCATCTTTTTTAATCATTCAGAAGCCTTAAAGATTTCTGTTTTGTTATATTTTATAAATATGTCCAAGTTTAATAATGTGTGAGAAATCCACAATGTTTTAGTTTATTCAGTCAGTATTTAATACAGCTGGCACAATAAATTGTTAAAATATGTATAATGATGTGCTTCTTTTCAGCATATAAGCAATTATTCCTTCATGTTATGGAAAGACCCTGTTGAACCAAGAGGAAACTCAGGTTTTTAAGAAAAGGRCAGCTCATTAATTAATCATCAATYGATTGACAAGATCTATCAACTTCAGATTGATTGATCGATATCTTGCAGCCCTAATTCCATGCTTTCTCCAGTTGTTTGTTCATAGCAGGGTCCTGACATGCTAACATAAAGTTTTGAGTTTGTTGACGTTCATGATATATAAACATCAGCGTGAACTGAGACGTGAACTCTCAGCTCTGTATAGATGTCCTGTTTAAGCCTTGGGGACCGCACCCGAGATGAATATAAACAACCAGCTGTGCTACAAGTGAAACTAGAGCGATGAGTAAAACGTTTGCCTGAGGAGGACGTTCTCCTAATCTTAGACGACAGATGAGGAACCGAAACCTGACGCTGTGAACTCAATCCGATCAGCTGAGTGGGTTAATCTAATCCCACAGGTTTTGTTTTAAACCAGCAGAGGATTGAATCTGCTCGTAACTCTTTAGTCAAATTTGGGTCTCCCCTTTAATTTTGCAGTATTTTTAATCATTTTAGTTGTGGACAAACATCCATTATTTGATGGTTAAAAGTTTCATAACAATTAGACCCATAGGTRCAACCAATCCAAACCTGAGGTCAGTAACTGATTAAAGTTGCAGCCATTTAATGTTTTTAATTAGCTGTGACAATAAAACCATATCTTTTTGAATTGTAGCAGATGTGAGATGCAATGAATAAACTATTTAAAACTTGCAGATTTGACATCACAATTTTCTTTTGAATGCAGATGTTAGCAAAAAATGGGAATTATTGTGCTTGGATTGTTATGATAAAAAGCATGAAGTGGGTCAAATGTTGCCAGAATCTTAGGATTGTAATTCTTTAACTCACTATAATTAATCCAGTGTTGAGTTTAGTGTTGGCGATCAGAGAGGAGTTTTCTTTATGTGAGTCACTGATGTAGGTGGGTCTTTTAACGCTTTTTAGTTTGGTTTGCTGCAACAGATGTTGAGATGTGATTTCGCCAAACTCTTCATGGTTGGTAAATCTTGCAGAACACTTTTAACTAAAGGTAGAACCCAGTCTGAACCCATGAATCATCGCTCAGCTCTCTAATTCCTCACTTTACATCTGATATAAACTTGACTGCTGTCGAGTCAAAAGTGTTCAGTGGCTTCCAGAGTTGCCTAAAGTGATCTAATAAACAGTTTGTGAGTTTGTCTGGCTTTTTATGGGATCTTGGTGATTCATAAATGGTCAACTTAAACCAAAGTGAAGAAAGGCACTGTCAGCCTTTGGTTTGTGTATTAGAAAAGAAAAACCTGTTCTGTCTCGTAAGGTCCCTGCTCACAAAGATAGTATTTATTTTTTAAAATTTTGTATCATATTTAGTTTTATAACCTACGTGTGGAGTCAAAACTCTGTCCAGATATTTTTGAGTTCCTCTTTCCAGACTCTGAGCTGAAAATGAAACATAATTTTAACAAAGTTTGTGTCACCAAACAGGAAAAATTAAAAGTTCAGTTATGCGTTTTATTTAAGGCCAAAACTACAAAGGCACAGACATGTTACTGGGTTTTCCTCCCTGCAGTAAGTTTGTATCAAGCATCAAATCTTGCTTATCACCTTCAAAGCATAAAAGGCTTTGTCCATAAATAAGATCACAGATGTGGTGTGTTTCCTCCTAACCAATAAAATCCTTTAACTTTGTCCCTGTTTCCTGTTCCCAGGTCCTCTGCTTACGAATGCATCCACTTYTATCTGCTAACTTTCCTTTTCTTTAAAGCCTTTGGCAGTGTCGGGTATTTTATTTATTGTTGTTTTGAACTTTTACTGTGAAAATTTTATTTTTATGTACAAGTTTATGATTAGAGCTGCTGAAATTTACTTCTAACCCTYATAATAAATGATGTGTGATTAAACAGCTCATCTCACTGGGACTGTCACGTTAAGACGACCAGTTTGATTTTAAAGCAATAAGACGCACATGTTTAACACTGATGTCAGCGGTCGTGTTTCCAGAGAAGTATCAGGCGTTTGGTTGCTTTTTGATCTCTGACACGCTTTTGTCTTTGGAGGAGGAGGAGGCCCTGCTGAGTGAGATGGATGTCACGGGCCAGGCCTTTGAAGACATGCAGGAGCAGAACAGCCGCCTGTTGCTGCAGCTACGGGAGAAGGACGACGCCAACTTCAAGCTGATGAGCGAGCGGATCAAATCCAACCAGATCTACAAGCTGCTGAAGGAGGAGAAGGAAGAGCTGGCTGACCAAGTTCTTACATTCAAAACCCAGGTGAGGTGGAATTTATTTATTTATTAATTTATTTATTTATTTAACCTAAAAACAGTGTGGATGGTTTTGAGTGAGAACCATGTGCTGATCACTGTTTCTCCCTCTSTTAAGGTGGATGCTCAGCTGCTGGTTGTGCAAAAGCTGGAGGAAAAGGAGGGAGTCCTGCAGAGCACACTGGCTGCTTTGGAAAAGGAGCTGGCTGTTCGAACACAGGCGCTAGAACTTAACAAGAGGAAGGTGAGAGGAAACAATAATTAAAGCCTTTATCATCCTCAATAAACACAGGTTTCAATTCTGCCAAATGACACACTKAAGAAAAAACACTCAGAAGTATTTTTGGTTTGTTGAAGTTCCTGATATTGAGATGTCTAGTTACAGATGTTACTGAGCGTTTATCTTGTGATSTGTTTCTAATAATTGCAAAGTGCAATAAGATGAAATGATTAAAGGGGGCTTGYCGTGTTTTTAAATCCTTTTCCACATTTAAATCATTCAGTTGGGGTCTTTATAAAGTGCAGCTGTTTTGCACCAGTGCTTTGGTCTGAATTCCTCCTTATTGTAACTCCACAAGCCCCTCTTTCACCCCTGTTCTGAGGTGYGTCTCAGAGCAACTCATTTTGGTGCTGTGTCTTTAAATCCAAACGAGGCACCGAACACCACACCCCGTTCAGCCATTTTTGTAGTCTTACATGTTGGAGCCAGAGTCTGACCCAGAGCCAGAGGAGAATGAAGACGACGAACCTGCAGATNGAACTGACGTTTTACTGTTCTATATAAGTAATCTGAGTTGATGTGAATTGAAATTCGGACGCAGGTTTTATCTCATTTAACTTTGACACCTTTTATAGGAATACCCACAATCAGGTGTAATTTATGATTTGTTCAATTTGTGTAAATAAATGGTTGCATAGTCTTTTATGAATCAACTTGAACTTGTCTGAACGTTCACTTATTGTGTCACTTTTCACTTCGCACAGTCAAGATATTAACAAGTAATGAGAAATACCTTGGTAAAAATTTCCTCATAACCTTGTATATGTAGGGGTAACCCTGGTGATTATTTTGTGAAGGTTAGGCTGGTCCTAATTTCATAGGGTAATTCGCTACATAAAGATGATAATGAGAGATGTGGGAAAAGCTTAATGCCACCTTAAGCTCACTCCCACATACACTTGCTGTCTCTGCTGCAACCAAATTAACAGTAACATTATTACAACAGTTGTTTTTTTATTTATGTATTTGAAGCTTCAACTGCTTTCATTTATATATGTGTGAGGTTTGACGGTGCATTAATTAAAAGCTCTCAGTTACTGAATAATTTTTAACAGTCACAGAAAAATCTAAAAGCTGTAAATACATTTTTATGGATTTAAAAACTGAATGTGATCTTTTATGAAGTTATGTGAAATAGGATTGAGATTTTCAAGTTGAGTTTTGTAGCATTCAGTTGTTTTATTAATATTTAAAAAAATGTAATAACWATAATAATAATAGTTTCAAATAACATTCAAAGTTCAAAAAGTTCAAAAAACGTAAATGGGGATTAGAGAAAACTGAGCAAACTGKAAAAATATGACCTGAACAGAACAAAGATGTCTATGCAGCATTGTGAGAGGCTAAAATCAACGACACAACATTAAGGGCTAAAAAAATTGGATTTTGCATCTTCTGTCCCCTTTAACTGTCTCGTTGCTTAATTTCATAATTTCTGTAATTAAACAGTCTGAAGTTAGTATCTCACTGGGTTGTTGGTGACTACTTCGCAAAGGAAGTCCTCAAAATGTTTCAAAACTTTTCGCAAAGGTTTCCAATTTCCTCAGTCGTGGGGGTTTACATGCTTGTCACTTGAATTCTGAAAATGATAAAACAAAATAAATTCTATTTTCTTGGAATGGTCTCACAGATTTTAGTCTCCAACAGTCACAGTTGTAGAAAACACTCAAATTTAAAAAAAATGTTACAACAAATTTGAAATGTTTTAGTAACATAGTGTTGGGGGGGGGGACACCAGATCTCCTGTAAATTAGATTAACCTGAGCTCAAACATTAGGCTCATACCGTTACATGATCCAGGCTCGCTGTTTCACCACATCACCACTCAGAAACTTCATTGTTCGTTTTATATCGAGTGTTCCTGCTTCCTTCCTCGCTGCAGGCGGTGGAGGCTGCGCAGCTGGCAGAGGACCTGAAGGTGCAGCTGGAGCACACGCAGGCCAAGCTAAAGGAGATCCAGKTCTCCGTGGCTGAAAACCGCACCGCTCGAGAGAGGGAGAGCAGCAACCTGAAACGAGCGCAGGTACGCTGGGGATACCGCTCCCACGACGAATGAAGTGGCTCCCTTTTGTTTTGTTTGTTGTTGCTGTTGTTGTTGTTGAGCACGTTTGGTTTCAGTCAAGATGTTTAGCTCTAACAGCTCTGTTTTCTCTTGGTCTCCTAGGAGGATCTGTCCAGGCTGAGGCGGAAGCTGGAGAAGCAGAAGAAGGTTGAGGTGTATTCTGATGCTGACGAGATCCTGCAGGAGGAGATCAATCAGTACAAGGTGAGGAGAAAGTTATTGTCGGGTCACAGATGGACCCTTTTTTAAGCAGCGACACAACCTTTCAGTGCWAGTTTTATCTTTTACTGAATTTACTAGAGGTGGCAGTTTTTACATTTAGGAATTACTCCATGATGTGAGCTTAAGTAGAAATATCCAGCTCTCAAAAAAACAGTACATGTTACACCCTCAGATCATGCCGTGCAGTACCCAGAGGTAATGAAATTGTTAGCATGCCAGTAACGGCCCACACACGTGTATTTATTTTTCCCCCAGGCCAAGCTGCGCTGCCCCTGCTGCAACACGCGAGACAAGGAGACCGTTCTCACCAAGTGTTTCCACGTTTTCTGCTACGAGTGTCTGAAGATGCGCTACGACACCCGACAGAGGAAATGTCCCAAGTGCAACTGCGCCTTCGGAGCCAATGACTTTCACCGCATCTACATCACCTAAGTCGCGCGGAAACCGGGTAGAAGTGTAGGAAGTTGATGACAGAACCAAAGGAGAGGAACAAATCCGAGAGGAGACGGCAAAAAAACAAAAAAAAAACAACACAAAACAAAAACTGAAGATTCAGTCATTTTGAGGGGGATATCAAATGAACTCACCCCTGTTTTATTCCCTTTTTGAAGACTTGTTTTATCACATTGTTGTTGTTCGGTGACCAAACATAGTGATATATGTGACTTGAGTGTTGCGATGTAGTTAATAAACACAGACGCTTCTGCACTCATTGATATTCTTACATGTGCTGCTCTGAGTTGCTTTTATTTCAGCTGATGTCACAGATCTTTTTAAAGTTTTTCTTTTTTTTAATGTATAGAAAAACTGAACCGCACTTGATCAAATTGAAGTGCTTCTTTGAACTGTTTTGTCCTGCTGGTGTTGGAAGAAAAAAAAATCCTTTAAGATCGGTGAAGCTCAAATTTCTAAATTAAAATAAGCCGTCCCTTACAGACTCCAGGGTTGCATGTTTAAAGCTAAATATGTTTCCAATCTGCGAGGACCAACAGCCAGATTCATCTTACGTAGTYGCTCAGGCTATAGCATTAACAATGCCTGAGAGACATCAGAGCGTCTGGCACTCGCTCAGCACATACGGGAGGGTTTGGATCACCTTGGGCAAGCTCCTCTGTGTGTGTGTGTGTTCATCGCGTTGCCATGGCTCCAGTTGGAGAGTTTTGACACAACATCTGCAGCTTATAGTGCCTCATTACTGGTGAAATCACTGCAGTGGAAAGTCAGCTCATATGGGTGTCCTTAGCGCGGCTCCAGGTCCTCCTCCGGCGCTTTATTCCTTAACGTTAGCCGTGACAGCGGAGTACAAAAACATCTGCGCAACAACACGCCTCTTAACTTAATTGCGCCAATGAAAACCTCCCTTTTTTTTCTCTCTCTCTCTCACTCCGATCTGATGATGTGAACTGTTTACTGGGAGTTAAGTCAGCATCTGTTTGACGTTGGTGCTTGTGGGAAAGGCGGTTCACACCGTGTAACACTCACAAGAAGTTCCAGGCTGCAGAGGAGATGAGCGCATGTGGGGAACGAGAGAGAGAGAGAGAAAAGAAAAGTATTAGGCATTTGGGAACAGTTAGCTGAGACTTCCTGAGGAATTGGCCATCCTGTTGCAGAATAATGATGGGTAAAAGGCTGGGCAGCACAAATAACTTGCCATAAATACATTAGTAGGTTGTTTATATCTGTGCGTCACAGAGCAGATGTAACGTATGGTCCTCATTATCGCCCCCAAAGGCAATCATGTTTGTGTGTGTGTGTCTGTGAGTGAGCGAGACAAGTTTGAAGTGTTACAGACACGGAGAGCTAAACCTTTGTGTCCTGTAAGCTGAGACTCCTACCCAACATTAAAGTGTTGCATGTTATGCAAGACCTTTGTTTTTAAGTGTTGGTGTCGCGTAGTCTGTTAGCAAAATATCTCACGAGCCATCGGGTAGATTTTGTTCAAACTGGACCTTCATCCAGTGCGATGGCAGCTACAGCTTATCGACCTTAGCAAAACACAAAAAAATAGCGAGAACTCGATTTTTACGAATATTGAGTGAAAACTTGGTGTGGTAGTAGCTGAGAGTCGTCCCCTAATCGAACTCTGAGCACGACCTCTCACGACAAAACTAAAACGACATCATAAGGTGATTAAAGCTCATATAAGGAGGGGGTGATATGCTTTCCCTCAAGGTATGCTGGGCTTTTTAAATGGACACGTGAGACGGTCCTGGGACTGGGGCAGGCTCCAGAGTGTGTGTCCACTGGCTTTTGTTGTTGCATATTTGTGCAGCGGCAGGCTACACCCAAGCTCAGGCCTTAATAACACCACCCTGAGTCAGTGTCCACACACAGACCACCTCTTTTATAGCTGCTGATAATGTCTCAGACATGAAGCTGATTAAAGCTCTCAGCACACTTTCCCATAGCTCTTGAAAAATGTGTTTTTTTCTTTTCTTTCTTTCTTTTAGTGAGTGTCATCTGTTTCTCCCCAGCTCCCTTCTGTACCTCAGACCCCTGCCAGAGGAGCTGTGTTTTTTGGCTCGGGGGTTGCAGACTGACGTCGACAGGCGTGGTAAAAACAATGAGAACACCATGAATCCAAGAGGTCAACAACAAATGGAGACAAATAAAAGATAACGCAGGGCGCGTCCATAAATTATGATATATATGGATTTAAAGGCTTCCAACCTGAGGTGTTTAAAGCGAAACTTTCACTCGAAGTGAAACAAAACGCTGTGGCTGAGGAGTTTCCTGCTCTCACACACACACAGAAACATAGGAAATGACTCATCGGAGCTGGACTGTTCAGCGTGGGTGTGTGCGCGCGCGCTGTTAAAACAAGGCGCAGACTCCTCCGCGTGACTCACTCTGATGCTCGCTTTTCCATCCTGAGGAGCAGCAGCACGGATTTGTTTGTTCGTCAGATGAACTTTCGGGAAGCAGCGAGCAGCTCGTCGTCATGGCTCTGACCCTCCTGTGCGGCTTTCTTATCGCGGCTGTGGCCAGCCTCCGCGGCGCGTGCGCGGAGAAAAGTGAGTAAATAAAGCACGAGTTTTATTCTAATAGTTTTGAACTTTTTTGAGCCGAATGCAGTGTCAGGTTTTCCCACTTGGGTCGGGGTTGAGTTTGTGTGAACATGAGTCCGAACCGGAGCCGCTTCCCTCCGACCCAGCTGCGGGTCTCACCGGTTCCGCATTCCTGTCTCCTGATTTCAGCCCCGCCACCTCCAACCATCCGTGCCCCCTCGGTGAGGAGGACAGGCCGCACCGACAGGCTGCTCCGCATGTGTCCATTTTGCACAAAGAGATGCTTTTTTAACAATGTGTTTCAGGGAAAAAAAAAAAAAAAAAAAAAAAATGGTTTGGCCTCTTTCCCAAACTTTTCTTTGAAGTTTGTGTTTTAATCCNGCTCCGCATGTGTCCATTTTGCACAAAGAGATGCCTTTTTAACAATGTAAATCAAAAAAAAAAAAAAAAAGGAAACATGGTTTGGACTCTTTCCCAAACTTTTCTTTGAAGTTTGTGTTTTAATCCCAGAGGAGATCAGCCACCCCAGGATAGAAGATCATCAAGTTCCTGTTGAAGTCTAAATAATGTTAATCTACATCTGCTCATCAGCTGAGGATAATCCACTAAAAACACATTTTAAAACTGTAGAGGTTTTGGAAMAACAAACACAGRCCTTTTTGCACAATAAAACAACATTCATCAGTCTGTAAATTAAACCTAAACAGGAACTAAAGTAGTTCTCAGCTGCATCACCTCTTACTGACAGGTCCTGACCAGCATCACTGATGGAGGAAGATCTGTGCCAGCACCTAAAAAATTAATAATGATGAACCAAAACAACCAGCAAGTGGCGACAATAGAGCAGAAATAATTCAAACCGAAACTCTTCAAATTCAGCCTTTTTTTAAAACAAACTCAGCAGTGCGTTCATTCACAAACATGACTTTAAAAAGTTTAAAAAATAATAATTAGTTTCAAAAAGACTCAGAATGTGTAGCTTTAACTAATATGATGGGATTTCTAACGATACTGTCAAAGTAATTTAGTCACTCAAATGTTGTTTGTTTTTGACCAACAGTTGAGAACTACTGCTTTAAACCATCAAAAGGAGGCCCGAGGGCCAGAAGTGGTCCTGATCTCACCGGGCTGCGACTAGTTAGCAAGCAGCATCGTGAGGGCGTTTCCAGGATGTCTCGAGATGTATTCAGGGTTCTTGGAGCGTGAGTCGCGTCAGTCACTTGAGTTTTAAACATATTCAGAAAATTTATGTGACAAGTTTTTTTTTCTCTAGTCTCAAAGTGGTCGTGAACGTCTTACAACCCGACACGAGAATGCTTGAGTTGTATTTTGGCACTTCCACTGGCGCTTTCTGGGAATGTCCATCTACGAAACCGATATATAATTTGTAATTTGTAAATGATTTGTCCAAACCTGCCTGCCTGCATTTCAGAAGTGTACTCCAGCACAAGGACGTAACTTTAGGTCTACCATTGGGGGGGTATRCTCTCTATTTATTTATTGAGTTGTTTACTTTTGTAAAACCATTCAAGATATTTAGGAGATAAATATATATTTTAAGGCTTTTGCTTTGATTTACTTAACTTTCCAGGTTTTTTTTGTATTTACTCTGCACCTTTTCTGTTTCACGTCAGTTCAACAGATAAGAAAAGGCTTACCCTTCTTTTTTTCCATAAGTAACAAATATTTGACATTTTTAGGATGCATTATATGTCATACCTACATTCTAAAATTTCCAAAAGTATGTATTTACCTGGTGCACTACAATTTGTCCAGGAAAAAATACAACACAATCTAGCCATAATGTGACAAAGGCAGACTAAAACCCTGCATGTTATTTTCAACAATTATGCTTAAATGTGCACATATCACATATATTATGTGACATTGTAAATTTTGAAATCAGGTCAAAGTTAACTAAAAACAACAAGAGTTGCAGCTGTGTATTTAACCAGTTAATTTTTATTGTTACAGCAAAATTATGTTTTATTGGGGGGGTTATATCAACTAGATCAAATTATTGTGGGGGTCATAACCCCCCTAACCCCCCACCTGCAAATTACGCCTATGCTCCAGCAGATTAAATCATAAATGTGGGGGCAGCTGCGGCGATGGGTACAATAAGGGGTGGAGGTGGAGGCTGATGACAAAATAATGTGCGCTGCCAAGAATGCAGTTGAATGCAGAGTTGGTTTTCAAAAAACCTGCAAGTCCAGAACACGACAGCTGGTCACTTGGTCAAAACAGATTTCATGTTGAGTCACCAACCAGTGGAACAGCTTCAGCTCAGGGACAAAAACCACCTTTAGAACCATCTTAATCCAGCCCCCCTAAAAACATCTGCACTGCCTTTTTTAACTACTTTAGAGAAGAGACAATGTTTAACTAAAATAGATTTAAATAATCGTTAGATCAAGTTTTTGAAGTCCAATTTGGTGCTGATGAACAAACATTAAGGATGACAGAAAAGCATCCATCCATCCATCCATTTTCTCCCGCCTATCCGGGGTCGGGTCGCGGGGGCAGCAGCTTCAGAAGGGAGGCCCAGACCTCCCTCTCCCCAGCCACTTCTTCCAGCTCCTCCGGGGGAAMTCCAAGGCGTTCCYAGGCCAGCYGAGAGACATAGTCCCTCCAGCGTGTCCTGGGTCTTCCTCGGGGCCTCCTCCCAGTGGGACGTGCCCGGAACACCTCACCAGGGAGGCGTCCAGGAGGCATCCTTACCAGATGCCCGAGCCACCTCAACTGGCTCCTCTCGACGTGGAGGAGCAGCGGCTCTACTCTGAGTCCCTCCTGGATGACCGAGCTTCTCACCCTATCCCTAAGGAGAGCCCAGCCACCCTGCGGAGGAAACCCATTTCGGCCGCTTGTATCCGGGACCTCGTTCTTTCGGTCACGACCCAAAGCTCGTGACCATAGATGAGGGTAGGAACGTAGATCGACCGGTAAATCGAGAGCTTCGCTTTCTGACTCAGCTCTCTCTTCACCACGACGGACCGGTACAGCGCCCGCTTTACAGCAGACGCTGCGCCAATCCGCCTGTCGATCTCCCGCTCCGTTCTTCCCCCATTCGTGAACAAGATCCCCAGATACTTAAACTCCTCCACTTGAGACAGGGCGACCCCCCTGACCCGGAAAAGGCACTCTGCCCTTTTCCGGCTCAAGACCATGGCCTCGGATTTGGAGGCACTGAGCCTCATCCCGGCCGCTTCGCACTCGGCCGCGAAYCGCTCCAGCGAGAGCTGCAGATCTCRTTCCGATGAAGCCAACADGACCACATCATCCGCAAAAAGCAGAGATGCGATCCTAAGRCCACCAAAACGGATCCCCTCAACACCTCAGACAGAAAAGCACTAAAAACTAAACACTTTCTTTTCACCAAAGACTTGATGTTTAAATGAATTGTTAGAATGAATAACTACAGGAATGATTAAATATTTATTAATAGCATTGTTATATTTATTATATATTTTTATTTTGACCGAGCATGGCAGGTACGCTAAACTAAAAAGAAATTAACGAGCAAAACACTTTTAATATAAATACAACAGAGTTGTGGGTGTTTTTTTGCTGGTTCTGGTTGAGTAGCTGCGGCAGCCATCTAGAATTGGACCGATTCCAAAAGTTAATCAGTTGTAGGTATACATGTAATGATTACTTTCTGAGAGTTTTATTAGAATCTATCAGGCTGTTCACGAGATATTTTGCTAACAGAGAGAGGGTTGACACCAGCAGTCAGTGCCAARGTTAAGCAAAGATGTTGCGCAATAAGGAGTTTGAATTAGTCTCAGCTACGACCACACCAAACATATCTGTAACACTGACTGAGTGAAGCCAAGAATGAAGTCACAATGGTCCTCTGGAATAATAATAATAATAATAAAGAAAAAAAACTGTAAAAGCCCTTCCACCTGTGCTGTAAACCGGTTTAAGTTTTTAAGTCTTAACAGCTTCACGTTTGAGCAGAGGTCAGGCATCAGTCACGGTTCACTTCCTGCCGGAGCTGCAGTCCATTCGGATGATGTCGACCCTGGAAATGAGCGGCGCTGCTTACACAAAAGCGTGACACACTTTCACTGAAGTGACTGTGGAACGAGTCGTGGGGGGGCGGCTCTGCTCGGAGGGCGGGGAGTCTCTGAGGGTCTCCAGGCATGTGGCCGTAACATAAGCAGGAGAAGCCGGGGAGGTCAAAATACCRCAAACATGAGTGTGTGAGCAGGCGTCTTCCTGCTGCAGCTGCCTTCCACTGCGACCCACACTCAGGAGATAACACGAGGCTTACTCACACAGCTCTGCGCCTGAAGTTCACATTTCCTCATGATGTGAGTGATGACACTAATCAGGCAGATGTAAACTTTTTCCAGAGTTAAGGTTCCGCCTGCTCTGATGGATTTGAAACAATGCAAGGCTGGAATTTCCCAAAAACCTGACCGTTGAAAGAAGGATCGAGCCTCGAAATGCGTTTGATCAAAAACAAGGATAATATACAGATTAAAGTTTTTGAAGGAATGCATAGCTTCAGATTTGAGCTCAAAATCTGCAAAACTGTTGTAGTGTTTCCTAAATCTGGTTAGTTGTGGCGGCCATCTTTAATTGGATTGGCTCCAAAAATGAACAAGTTGTAGATGTCCATCCAGAGATTATTTTCTGAAAGTTTCTTTAAAACCCGTGTGCTGATTCACGAGATATTTTGCTAACAGACAGTTAAATTCAACTATTTAATGTCACCGTTTTAAAGAAACAGCTTGAGCAATCTGTAAATGCTCAGAGTATAGGTTTTATGTGATTCTCATCTACTACCACACCATAATTCAGATGTATTTCTGCAAAACTGACAAGAGTTATAGCCATTTATTTTTTTTTATATTCAGTTGACTGTGGCAGCCATCTTGAATCAGGATGACTCCAAACATTATTCAGCTGTAGAGGTGCATTTGATGGTTATTCTCTGAAAGTTGCATTACAATACATYCAGTGGTTCATGAGATATTTTGCTAACAGGCATACAAGGTTGTCTCCACAGRCAACGCTAAATAAGTAACCTAGTTATAGTCTAAATATCTTTATCTACCACTGTATGTCACTGCTGCTCAGCTCAAAATCACTGCACCGAGTTTTTTTTAACCAAATAATTTCACTCATCTGAGTAAAGTTGAAGCTTTTCTCKTCTTTTTGTGACTTAACCTGTCAAAGGGAGCAGCTTTTCTTCTCTTCACGGTTTTGTTGTCCGTGATGCAGTTTCCCACACACTTCATTCAACCAGCTGGGGTTTACGTCAGACTCAGGCCTCCGATAGTTTCTGTGGTGATTTAACCTCTCTCTGTTTCAGGCTGACTCATTCCACGCCTGAGGTGTTCCCTTCTTATCACCATATTCTAAATGCAAATACACGCAAGACACGGACAAGGAAGAAAGATTATCATGCTGTCCATCGCCTGCTTCCTTGTTACATACATGTACTGTGAAGGTCGTCACGTTTTCGTGCTCTCAACCAGAAGCACCCCCCCTCTAAACACTCCGCACGCTGCTGCTGCTCACACTCGCCACTTTTTTGAGGTTGACGGTCTTTGCTGTTGCCTCAACATGTGAGAAACCTGCTCAGCTCTGTCACGGCCAGGAACAGTCATTTCTTCTCAGAAGCTGAACACGACAGCAAAACAGTTCTGAGGAAAAGGTTCATAAAACAGAGAGAGAGAGAGAGAGAGAAGTATTGTTTTGTACCCAAAGTGACTGAGTCTGCATCAGCAGGTTGCCTCTCAGAGGAATTTCCCACTTTCATTTTAGATGAAGAAAAACTAAGCCTCGTGTCATGGTTGGGTTAGAGTTTTAGCTGTAGGCTGATCAAAACAGAATTTCTCCCACGACACCTGGTTTAGTTTATAGTAGGGGTGTAAGAAAATATCGATACACTGAAATATCGCGATATTTCATTTCCCAATACTGTATCGATATTCTAAAGCCCTGTATCGATTTTTTTATTAAGGTTTAAAATGTCAACCTTCTTGCCAACCGTTCATTTTTATGTTGTAGTTCAGCCTCTGACCACTAGTTGGCAGCAGTGAGCCAGCCATTTGGCTCCTCTACCTCTTGAGCGCCAGAGAGTAAGGGTAGCATTAGCAATGTAAGTAAACATTAGGTTTTCTTTTTTTTTTTTTTCAGTAAGAAGTTTTTATTTAATAGAATTTTTGGACAAAAAAATCGCAATATATCGCCTTGCTTACAGTATCCCAATATATCGGGATATATCGTATCGTGACCCCTCTGTTATGATATGTATCGTATCGCCAAATTCTTGCCAATACACAGCCCTAGTTTATAGGAGCTTGTTTTAATGAAAAAAAAGACTTTCAATGTGTTTCTGATATCAGCAAATTTTAATTTGTAATATTGTATTTTTTTTTATCACCTGTCATCCAAAAAAGTAGGCAATAATGTTTGTGCTTTTGATTTAGTTCCTGCGTTTGTTCGTTTTACCTGCTGTAGTTTGTACTCCAGTGACTATAGCGCTATGTTGTGTGTCTGTCTGCAGGTCAGTGTCCCAACTCTGAGTTTTGGAGCTCAGATTTGGGGTTTTGTGTTCCCTGTGCATCCTGCAAGCAGTACCCCAAGACCCCATCGTGCAACACATGTGAGATGCTGTAAAGTTTTTATGACGTTACAATATTCAGTTATTTTCAGTTTGTGCTTTTTGTGTGTCATTCTTGCATTTAACGAACAAAACTACAAAACAAATCAAAAATCAAAACTGCAGTTATGCATATTAGAACATAAATAGTAATTAGGACTGTAGATGTACAGCTAAAAGTTTGTTTAATTTTTTTCTACACTGCAAATGTGTTTATTTGTTAATAATTTTGACCAGCTTTTCGCATTAAATTTGGTTTTGCGCTACAAAAAATTGTTGTACTCAAAAAGTCAGGATCAGAAGTTTCCAAATCTTCTTTTTAAAAAGTAAAATATTTCCATTAATTGTAAGGATGAAACTCAAAGTAGCAAAGCGCAAAGAAAAACTTAGATGATGTTAACTAAAAGCCAAAAATAGCAAAAGCCTAGCTGAATGAATCAAAACGGTAGCTTAGAAGCTAAAGGTAGCTAAATGTAATAGGTAATAGGTAAAAGTCATACAGTGCTAGCTAAAGCTAAAACTAGCAAAAGACTAGCTAAAAGTAGCCAAAAACTGTCTAAAAGAAGGATAAGATAAGATAGCTAAAAGCTAAAGAAGAGAAAAACACAGCAGGAGGCTGAAGCCAATGTTTAAAGAGAACAATGTTTTTGAGCATCTTGAGGAAAGTTTAATGTATTTCTTTCTTTTGGGCAAATATTTGTAAATAAAGTTTCCATTTTAGAAAGTGTAAAGGTTACTAAAACTAGGAGTTGCAGCAGTCATTTACTGAAAGAGCTTCAGATTATGATGTGTAAATGGCTGAAATAGTAGAGTATGCAGAAATAGGCTAGTTAGATTGCAAAAATAAATGAAAATTTAAAACATAGGGGCATGAAAATAACAGGAAAACAATGTTCAYAAATGTGCCCTCTGCTTCAGTGCTGCTGCTGAAGCTTCTCTGAGCAGGCAAATCCTTTTCTTTCCCAGGTAAATTTGTGGAGGAGATGCCAGATGTGTGGAAACTTGCAGCGATCACCAGTTTCTCTGTCCTGGCCGTGGTTCTGATCGGCGCCGCGCTCATCATCGGAATCATGGTGCATCGACGCAAGTCGCACAAACGACCCCTACGTGGTAAAACGCACAGTTTTCATCAGCCACGGTGTATAGATGGATTCATTATTAATTATTATCCCCATGATGAGCATTTGCTTTGGTTCAACATCAACAACACAAACTCTATGACAACACAAAGTAAAAACATGAAGTTAATCGGAATTGAGACACAGCGAGCTGCCCTTGGCTGAAGCCATTATGACATGATGACACAGCAGGGGAGGCAGGTGTAAATAATTAAAGGAATAAACGGCTTATTTTCATTGCCGTCAGGGCGGTAATGCTCAGCACGGCACTGCTGAATAACAGAGTCATCAGTGATGTAATTGAAAACACCTGGGCTCATAATGTTTTCTCCTGATTTATTACAGAACCTATTGAGGAGACGGCGGGGCCACTTTATCAGGCTTAAACAGCTGAGTATGTATCTCTTCACTTTATTACAACAGCAGAATGTGTTTTACACTAACACAGGTCCTTTTACATGGTCGATTCCTGATCCCACCTTTTATAAACCCATCATCTGTGAAATGGGCTGATTATGATCTCTGTCTAAGCAGGGGCGGAGCCAGGGGGTGGCCAGGGGTGGCCATGGCCACCCCATTGGCCACCCTGCTGTACACACCCCTTCCACCGTGAAACAACCTTTAGGGGTGTAATAATCCTCCTGAACAGTTGGTGGCAGTGTTTAACAGTTTGAAACATCACCAAGCTCAAAGAAGTGATTGTTTTCTTTATATCCAGAACATATGTAATCTGACTTATGGTGACAAATGTTTTTTGTTTTGTTTTTTGTCACCGTTTCACAGTGTCATTTTACGTTCTGAAGGCTGCATGATGCTCTGCCCCTTTTGGTTAGGAGTAGACCTATCACTAAATCAGTAAAAGTGAAACGCCCCTTTAAATTCACTGTTGGTGGTTATCAGTATTGCACCTGTTCATTGGGTAAAGTTATTAATATTAGTTTTAAACATGAAGTTGAAGCTGATCATTATTTGGTACAACGACGTGTTAAAATTAAAAATAAGTAAATAAACAATATAAAAGTAAAAAGCACCCCTAAAGTCACAGGATATGATAAATTGTGACACATTAATCAACCTTATCTCAGCCATAGCAATGAGTTTAAAAACAGGATAATGAAACTAGTTTAATGAAGAATCTTTCTCTGAAATAATTATTAAATCAATTGTTTATTTATGTAGGTAAAAGAATGTTAACAACTTGGTAAAATACTCCAGAATGCTGGAAAGGGCAACTATTGTATTTCGTTCAAAAATTTCTGGTGGAGGACCCCAGACCCCCCAATAGTGTGTGCCCCCACTTTTAAAATGGTTCTGACTCCCATGTTTATAAGGTAGTCACTGCCTGTATGAGGACATAAGGAAATGACCAAAACACAAAGATCTGCAGAAACTTTCAAGTAAAAAAAGATGTAATTTTCCTGGCCACCCCTGTGAAAAATGTCTGGCTCCGCCACTCTCTAAGAACTGTGATTTAATTTGGAGAAATTAATCAGTACAATGCAATTTTCAGTTTTGAATGAAAAATTGAATTTGAATCGAATTGTGGCCCCAAAAATCAGAATCGAATCAAACTGTGAGACAGTAAAAGATTCCCCCCCTAATATATGGCTGCCCCTATATTTTGGTCTGCCACCCCAGAAAAAAATCAGTTAGCACTGTTCACAACTCAGGCTACAGAGATCATACAAACACTACAAAATATGAAAATTTCCAGACCCGATAAAGTTCCAAACCCTACAAATTTTGTTTAGAGCCAAGCGTAAAAATTTATCTAAAAAAAAAAAAAAAAGGAACGATGTTACAGTTTAAGGGTTATTGTGTTTGTTTGTGTGGAGAGAAAATGTGGAACAATTTGAGTGTGGAGCTGAAGCAATGCCCAAATGTAAAATTGTTTTAAAAGAAAGTATAAAGAAATTATTTTCAGAAAATATAAAAATAAAATATGACAAAAGCCTGTAGTAAGAAAACGTATTTGAATATTGTAAATATCTATATTTATTCCATTGGGTTATATTAATGTATTAATGTAAGGAATTAGATTAGTAAAAAATTAATAACCAATGGTTAAGGGGTGGGGTTAAAAAAGTATAAACTTCTTCTCACTCCTTTTTTCGACACGAGCTGCACAAAAAGTGTGAAATACCTGTGCACTTTGTAATTTTCTTTCTTCTTTCTTTATTATTTGCTTAAATGATTGTAAATAGGTAACACATTTGAAATAAACGACACAAACAAGATTAGAAGTGTCCTCCTTCTGACCCCTCTGAAAGGTTTCTGGAGGCGTCCATATTTTCTTGGGTTATTAAAAACTGTTTTAGTTAAAAAACATAAAACACAAATAGAACTTTGAATCAAAACTAAAAAGAGTGCCATTAAATTGTTTGTGAAAGATCATGCTAGTCTGATTGATCCTSTCTTGTCTTTAACGTAAAAAAAAATCTTCCTTTATTTTGACATGATGTGAAGGATGTTGATTTGAACGACTGTGCTGGTCTCCACAGCCTCATCTTCCTCTGGAAACGGACGTGACTGAAGCAATGGAACCCGACGGGGGAACCTCTGGACCAGGAACTGTACACCTTAACCCTACGATGTAGTTTGGCCAGAATCTGACCGTTTTAACTTATTAAAACTGTTTGTTGAAGAGCTGTTCTCAAGCTCAGTGCAGGTCCTGTAGCTGACCGCAGGACTTCCAACCAGCATCTTTGTAGGTATAGTCACATCAAATGAGCTTGTGGCATCGTGTTTAGAATAAGTGCCTTTTTTTTGTACTTCGTTCAGTCGAGATTCCAGCCTGGAGGACCTTTTTTTATTTTCAGGTCTAATGATGTTCGGTTTTGTTAGAACTACGTCTTTAATTCCAGCCGGACTGTAGTGAATGTAACACGGTCAAGTCTTTATAGCCAAGCTGCAGCTTGATCCCAGGGTTAGACAGCAGGGGTGGGGTGTGTGTGTGTGTGGGGGGGGGKRGKG